CGAGCCCGCCAGGCGCGGGGTCCCGGCGCGGCCATGGCGCGGCGCGGGGCGGGGCTGGGGCTCAGCGACAGCTGGCGTGGCGCGTCGCTTCTCCGCTCCGCGGAGCTAGTGCGAAGCAAGCCTTGGACCCCTGCAGCCGGGGCGGAGCCAGGTGGGGGCGTGGCCAGAGGAGCGTACACGTGCGGCTGGGCGAGTCGGAGCCAGGATTGACCCGGGCGTGGCCATGCCGATGTGGGCGGGGCTTAGACGAGGGCGGGGCCAAGACTCGCGGCCAAGGCGCGGGGCACCCTCCTGGCAGCGTCCGGAAAACTCCATGCAGGCGTCGTGTTCAGCCAGCTTCACAGGGGAGGGAACTGAAGCTCAGAGGAGGCGAGTGACTAGTCCGAGGTGCAGTCAGTGACATCTGGATTGGACATGAGTCACTTTTCTGCTTGGAGGCGCAGCGCAGGCCAGGCTCCGTAACACCTGGAAGGGCCTAGGTGCTCCAGCCAGCTTCTGCGCTCCTCTCCACCTGGTTTCAGTCCTTGCGCCCCTCCTGTCTGCCCTGCGGCCCACTGGCCGCCGGGGTCTGCCCTCTGGCAACCCGGCCTTGTCCCGGCCCGGCCGCCGCCCAGCTTCTTCTGCAGCCACCCTCTTCCTCGTCCTGCCCCAGCTTCTCCTAAGCCTTCTTCCTGGGCGGAGGCCCAGTTCATCCTGAGCCCCATTCCTGGGGTCATCCTGGCCGACCCTCTGCCTTTGACTATTTGAAACCAAGGCGTCTCTGGCTGCGCAGCTGTAAGTTTTCGCGACCTAGCAGCTCAATGCACACTCTAAAAAAAGTGTCAGAAAGCAAGTGCCAGAGAGACAGAGACAGCTAGACAGAGACAGTGAGAAAACACCGCATAGAACAGGGTCAGGCCACAATCCCTTCTCTTCCATCTCTCCCTCCTTGGGAGAGTTCGAGGGCACACAGCTATGTGCCTGGCATGTGTGTCGAAGCTGCTAGGCTCCGTACTTGAACTGCATGATCAGACATGGTTTCCAGTTCTTACTCATTGCTATAGCATGTGTGTGCACGCCGGGGAGAGACAGAGAGCACACAAGAGTGAGAATCACCCCTCCATGAGGGAGGGTCACACCGCTTCTCTCCCCCTCTCCCATTCTCTGAGTTCGGGGCACACATACTCCCTGCACGATTTTACTTTTTTTTTTTTTTGAGAGATTTTCACTGTAGGGCGCGTGCGCTCGCCAGACAGACAGAGAGAGACATAGAGACAGAAAGCGAGAAATCACCCCCCAGGGGGGATGGTCACGCCGCAATCCCTTCTCCTCTCGGGATCTTGGGCACGCACGCACACGCGCCGGGTGTGAGTTTTAAGCCACCGGGTCCGGGACACGAACCGCGGTCAACTACGTGGGAGTCCGCGACATAGCCATTACGCTAACTGCTGGTTCCTCCCTGCACGATTTTCAAGTCACTAGGCCTGGGGGTCAAACTGGTCGGCCTGTGGGATGCACTGCCTTAACCTCCACGCCACCTGCTGGCCCATGGATTTATTTTTTCTGGCTAGGGATGGGCCTCCTCCTGCAAAGGACTCCGGACTGTTGTCGGAAGTTCATGGCCAGCCAGCTGCTTCTGCAGAAACCCAGTCACCAACATCCCTAACCTTGAGAGCCAGGCCCAAGGCAGATTTGAGGGAAGTACCAATATGTGTAAGACCACATTACACGTAATTTTTTGAAGAGAGATCTTTGCTATAGGGCACATGTGCTTGCCTGAAAGACAGCGAGAAGAGAAGGCAGTGCAAGGGCGACTGCAGACAGCCAAGGTGGCCCCGGCCGGGCGGGAGCTGTGAAGAGGCATGGAGACCGCGCGTCCTTGAGCTGATGGTGCACTAGAGGGCCAGGAGCCACGGGCTCACAACACACAGCAAGTACATGGCTGTCTCAGTGCAGCGGCCTGTCAGATGCCCGCCTCGTGCCAGTCTCCCAGCAGCCTTCGCGCTTGAGACCCAGTTCCAGGGCCGGCTCTGAAGGGGGAGCGAGTGGTCCCTGGGCTCTGGGGCATCGGTGCACTGCCGTCTCCCGACGCCTTCCGCAACACCTGCTGTGTCCCTGCTCTCCCTCCTGTGACTCGCTGCTGCTTTTTCGTCTCCTCACCCAACACTTACTTGTTCTCTTTAAATACTTACTGTAATTTATGGTTTACATATAATTAGAACACAGCTTTGTAGGGTACAGAATGGTCTTCAGAAGCGTGTACATGGTCGGGACCAGCAGATGGCATAACAGTTATGTCAATGGACTTCTATGTGGCTGACCCCGGTTTGAGTCCCAGGCCCAGAGACTTGAAATTCATGCCAGGTGTGTGTGCATGCATGCCCTACATCCTGGGAGGAGAATGGTACAGGGGGATTATGGCATGACCACCCCCCAAATTTCTCATTTTTTGTCTCTCTGTCTCTCTAGCAAGTGAACATATAGGAAAAACTTCTCTTTAAAAATAAAAAGGAAGATGGGACCAGCGGTTAACGTAATGGCTGTCGCTGGACTCCCACATAGTCGACCGCAGTTCGAGTCCCGGACCCGGTGGCTTAAACTCACGCCAGGCGCATGTGCGTGCGTGCCCAAGATCCCGAGAGGAGAATGGAGGACCTCTCAAAAATAAATAAATAAATAAATAAATAAATAAATAAATAAATAAATAAGCAAGCTATATCATAGCTTTCCTGACTACCTAATAGTCGAATCTGCATTCAGTCCTGGCTTTCCATGCTGTTAGCAGTCAGCTGGGCCTACCCTTTTTCTCCCGTTGTTTTGCGTTCTCTTACTTCCATGAGTCACGCTAGAGCTTTCCTGGTGTAGTCGTCCCTTAAGTATGTCCTGAAGCGCCATTTTTGGGTTGGTGAATTCCTTCATCATAGCTTTCCTGACTACCTAATAGTCGAATCTGCATTCAGTCCTGGCTTTCCATGCTGTTAGCAGTCAGCTGGGCCTACCCTTTTTCTCCCGTTGTTTTGCGTTCTCTTACTTCCATGAGTCACGCTAGAGCTTTCCTGGTGTAGTCGTCCCTTAAGTATGTCCTGAAGCGCCATTTTTGGGTTGGTGAATTCCTTCAGCATTTGTTTATCTGGGAATGATTTTATTTCTCCTTATTTGTAGGATAAGCTGGGCACAGTACTCTTGGTTGAAATTGCTTTTCTTTCTGAATTTAAATAAATCTTCCATTTCTTTTCTTGCCTGCATTGTTTTGGCCGAGAGATTCAATGTTAGCCTAGTGGGGTAACCTTTGTAAGTAACTCGGATTTCTCTTTTGCCACTGATATAATTTGTCTTTTTCTTTGACTTTAACCGATTCTGCTGGTCCTTCATCTCCAGATTGCAGGGTCTCCTGTTGCTCTTTCTTTCTCTGGGACTAAAGGAATCAGGGGTTTGGGGTTTTTGAGAGATTTTTGCTGTAGGACACCTGCTCTAGCCAGAAAGACAGAAAGTGAGAAACTATCCCTCAGGGAATGCCACGCCACAATCTCTTCCTCTCCATTCTCCTCTTTGGATCTTGGACACACACACACACCCAGTGTGAAGCTTTTTTTCATTTTTTTAAAATTATTTAATTTTATTTACTCATTTATTAATTTTAGTTTGACTAGAGTGAGACACAGACAGAGAGAGAGGGAAAGTGAGAAAGCAATCCACCAGGTCCAGGACTTGAACCGTGGTCAGCCATGTGGGAGTGTCCAGCACTTTAACCACCATGCCATAGAAATAGAGAAAGGGAAAGTGAAAAAGCAAGCCGCCAGGTCCAAGGCCTGAACCACAGTCAGCTGTGTGGTGTTGGTGTCTGCCCTGGACTTAGCAAACAAAATTTCTATAGCCCAGTGTGGCTCACAGAATTCTAAATCTGTGTCTACTCCCAAGGGCTCAAAGGGAACATGCCTCCTCACTACGTAGCAATCTAAAAGCTGAATTTCTAGAGGAGTAAAAACAAATAGTGATAGGGAACCAGCAGTTAGCGTAATGGCTATGTCACTGGACTCCCACGTAGTCGACCGCGGTTTGTGTCCCGGACCCGGTGGCTTAAAACTCACGGCAGGCGCGTGTGCGTGTGTGCCCAAGATCCCGAGAGGAGAATAGAGGAGAAGGGATTGCGGCGTGACCATCCCCCCTGGGGGGTGATTTCTCGCTTTCTGTCTCTATGTCTCTGTCTGTCTGGCGAGCGCACGTGCCCTATAGCAAAAAAAACTCTCAAAAAAAACAATAGTGATAGAATAGGGGGGGCAGAGAGGCCCAGCCATTTACTTATCTTCGAGAGTCGCCGAGAAGCGTGAGGCCAGACACACGGATTGTGCAGAAGCCAAGTCGTGGGGTGTCTAGATCCCAGGTTTTGGCACTAATCTGTCAGCATGTGCCCTGGACTTAGCTCGATCTAAGAGGGAGCAGAAAGAGAGAGACAGAGTACAGTGGACACAGGCGGCCTGGGCCTAGGTAGCCCACACAGCTCGCACTGCCCTGATGAACTGGGCGCCACTACAGCCACTACATACGTGTATTTCACGACGTTCCATAGATACGTTGATATGTTACAGACCATAGCAGCTAACAAATCCGTAAGGGCTTAGACATACTGGGCCAGGTGTATCTCTTGGTTACCTCCATATCAAAGGGAAATCCCCATAACCTTCTTCTTTTTTTTTTTTTTTTTGAGAGGCTTTTGCTATAGGGCACGTGTGCTTGCCAGAACAACAGAGAGAGACAGAAAGCGAGAAATCATTCCCCAGGGGGATGGCCATGCCGCAATCCCTTCTCCTCCATTCTCCTCTCGGCATCTTGGGCACGCACGCACACGTGTCCAGCGTGATTTTAAGCCACTGGGTCCGGGACTCGAACCGCAGTCTTACATGGAAGTCCAGTGATATAGCCATTATGCTAACTGCTGGTCCCCCATAACCTTCTTATCTAGTGGAGAGAAGCCCAGTTGCTGGTGTGGGGAGGATACTTTCTTAAAACATCAAAGAGGAAGGGAACAGAGAAGAAGCCACGGGCCTTCAGAACAAGGTTCCACATGGCTACTGTGAACTAGATTTTTAAGGGAATGAAGATGTTCTACTAATAATTCAGCCTCCAACAAACGAGCTAGCGGTAGGGAGCCCTCCTCTGCACCCAGCCTTGTCTCTCTGTCTCTCAGTTCCTGTCTCTCCCTGCTTCTGTCTTCCCTTTTTTTTTTTTTTGGTAATATTTCCTTTTTACTTTTTTTTTTTTTTTTTTTTTTAAAAAAGGGGCGGATTTTTTCCGGTCTCTATTCCC